GGTAAGTTTTATATGAGTGGTCTCTTAATTTAGAGTTTGGGGACAAATAAGATAAAGAAGGTTCAGCTAACCAAGAAATGATAGTTATTCTATGCTGAGAAAAAAATCCAAGTGTGTATGGTTTTCTATTTCTCTCTCTCTCTCTCTCTCTCTCTCTCTCTCTCTCTTCTCTCTGTCTCTCTCTGTGTGTTTTGTTTTTGTTTTTTTTTTTCCGTTATGAGGCTTGAACTCAGGGCCTGGGCACTGTCCCTGAGCTTCTTTTGCTCAAGGTGAGCACTCTACCACTTGAGCCACTTCCGGCTTTTTCTCTTTATGTGGTACTGAGGAATTGAACCCAGGGCTTCATGCAAGCTAGGCAAGCACTCTACCACTAAGCCACATTTACAGCCCTGGTTTCCTATCCCTTATCTGTAAAAGATCGATTGTGTTATCTTCTTTTTTTCTTTTCCTGAACCGCTTTAAGTGAATCACTAAAGAATTTAAAGAATTTCAGAACTGGGATATACCTTTATTTAAATCACTAATTTATTTCACAAGTGAAATTTAAGCAGGTTAGGTCACATTCTCAAGGGCCACAGCTGGTCAGTGGTACCATCAGGACTGTATCTCAGGCAATTTTGGAGCCATTCATGTATTCTAGACTCCTCTGCTTCTGGGAAAGTACCACAAGAATTAAAATCCAGTGCTAAGTGTTGTCTGAAGCAATGCTAACGATATAAAAATGATCCTATTTAGAAACAAATATTGAACAGCCTGATACCTAATTTTTTAAAATAGTAATGGTGTGTGCAGGCGGTTTAAATATTTGACAGTTGAGGAAAAACTAAGCTAGAATCAGCTTGCTCCTCATTATCAAATCATCATCTTTGTCTTTATGTTCCTCCTCCTCTCCTCCTTTTTCTGCCTTCTTCCTCTTGCTCTTTCTTTTGGCCTTTTCCAGTCTTGTGGACTTTTTTCCACATGCAGTGCATTTCATGATTGCCTCTCCATATGGTTTTTTATCATATTTTCCTGCAGAGAATGGAGACCATTCAGACTTTCTTTCACCTTGGTTCATCAAAACTTGTTTTGTACCATTGATAATTTTACAAAGCTGCTTTTAGGCTCACAACTCTATTGAAAATGTCATGCACATTTTTAGGATTGGGGAAACCTTAATCAAGTTTCTTTTCTCTGTGGGCTGGATGAGCTCAAGACAGTTCGAATGTTCTTGTCACTGACAAGTTTCATTATAGATTTTGTTGGTGTTGTTGAGGTCTTATAGTAGCATGTGATGAATTTTATGCTATGTTGATATCCATATTTTGTGGCAGATGAGCAAAATATTAAAAAAATTTTCAGTGTATCCATATAATATACTATTGCCCATTGATTAGATTATCAAACAATACAAGAGTCTTTTGCATAATTCTATTTTAAAGTTTCTTTTAATAAACTACTTCTTGGCATAATCTAAATATATATTTAGGTGCAATTATCTTCTCTGTTAGAATCATTTTAATTCATCTTTTTCAACATGATTGCTTCTGTTTTATATTTCCTTTATTTAAAATATATTCCACTCTAAATCAATTTTTTTCTTTTAGGTAGGACCTCAACATGCCCATAAATGCCACCTAACATAAGACAATGCCATAATAGAAAGACACAATGATTATAACCGATTACTTAAAGTAATTTAATTTGGTAAACTAAGAAAAATAGGCCATATGAACATATTTATAGGGCTCCCAGGGCCTAAAGTGGAGAGCATGCAAAGGAGGGGGCCTGAAGCGCTTGCTCTGTTGGCTTCATGGTATAGCAGCCTCGGGCAGTACAGTCTATGTTTGTGTGTGCTTTGTGTGAGCACACATGTGTAGGATACATGCATATGTGCTGGAAGGCATGGTGCTGGCGCTTCCTCAGATCTAGTCTGGGTAAAAATGGCCTCAGGAAGAGCCAGTCATAGTCATGCGGTCTCAGGCCTGTAACCCCAGCTACTCAGGAGGTTGAGATCATAAGGATCTTGGTCTTTGGCTGACCTAGTCAGAAAGTAAGAGATCCTATCTCTGAAAAATAATGAAAGCAGGAAAGACCTGGGATGGGACCTCAAGTGATAGAGCACCTGTCCAGCAGGAATGAAGTCTTGAGTTCACCAAAAGAAAAATAATGGGTCCTGAAGTGAGGGACATGTCAGCTACAGTGCTAATGAAGTTCGACTCAGCTATAATCTCCAGAGGTAAGGAACAGCCAACAGGGGAGCCAATTCCCATTCTTCATGGCATGATCTAACTCTCTTCTAGCTTCTCGGCTGAGAGCACATCTCTGTCTCTGGATCTGCTTGGCATGGATTCAAATGCTGCCCCATGACTCTAGCTTGAGCTTAATGGAGATAAATGAGATAACCTCCAAACTGCTGGAGAAAACTAACATGGACTAGGAGAAGGCGAAGACTTTTGTGAAAAACACAGGCTCAGCTCCTAGACACTGTGGTGCTTCTAACTGTGCTTCCAACTCTGCTTCTACTCCCTGAGCTGCCTTTGTCCTTCCAATACATCCATTCTGGAATTTAAATTAGTTTAAATAAGGCTTCTGTCACTTGCAGCTTGAAGTGTCCTGATTAAACTTATCCCCATCCTACATTTCCTCCTGAGGTCTCAGTTTCCATAATGGCACCATCACCCACTCAGAAGTAAAGCAGAGCCTGAAGTCATCCATGGCTTTTTTTCTCTTCACTTCCCTAAGGACCTCAAAACACAAGGTACTGTGAAGTTATTCAGGTTGTCACTGCACAAGTGCACCTGAATAAGTAGATGAGTGGGAGCTATGTCCAGCTTACCTTCTGCTTATGGAGCTGTGAACTCTGATACAGGGCAGTGTCCCTGGGAGTAAAGGGATAGTTGGCTTCTTCGCTACAGAAATTCTGCTTCCTCCCCTCTTCTTCTGCTTCTCTTCTTATTCCCCATTCTACTTCTCATTGTACCCTTCCATTTTTCCTTAGAGCACTTCTCACTTTTTATATGGCTCTCTGTCTAATGGGTATTTCCCCTGTCCTTGAAATTCTTCTCTGCATTCACAACACTCATGCATTATTTGGTACAATGGTCTCCAATTCTTGTCTATCCTAAATCACTGTCCCATTTGTCTATCTCAAGTTATGTTCCCTATTCATTTTGGGAGACCCACTGGTCTTTCTAAATGTGTGTGTGTGTGTGTGTGTGTGTGTGTGTGTTTTCTTTTGTTTTAATTGCTCTGTGGCTCCTTATTACTCTAGGGTAATGCTCAAATGACATCTATTGCGTCTTTGCCTTTGCTGTTTCCTCCTTCAGCTTTGTCCCTTCTCTAGGAGCATCTTTGGGTCTATAAAGACACAGCTTTCTCTCTTTTACCTCAGGCCTCCGTACCTGCTATTTTTTTTTTTTTTGCCTTGGAGCACCTTAATTTGGCGACTTATTCCTGACAATTCCTTCAAGACTTAGAGATTCACTAGAGATTGTTTGTCCACACTCCCACAGACTGCTCCTGTGGTGTTCCTCTGCCACTCCTCCACCCAATTATATTGCTTAATTCATTGTGATGTAACCAGCTACTGAATGACCCCATGCTCCAAATCTGTGGAATACACAAAATCATAAAGAAGCAAAGAACCCAAGGTACATCTGGAAACAGCACCAAGAAGGCAAGCAGAATGCTCTATGCAGTTCCTTGGGGGCCTGGGCTGGGGCAGCACAGGCTAACTTCAGCATGTAGCAAAGCTGGTCTTTCTCCAGTGTGTTTCCTACATCCCCAAGGGCCTACCACTTGACAAAGCCTTGAATAATGGGGCCATAAGACACAGAGCAGTTAAATGTGGAGGCAATGAGGTCCTAGTGGCAAGTACATATGAGTAGGAAAGAACTGGATTCAGGTCCTCCTTCTTTGTGCCTTGGATCCAGGGGAGGACAGATGTGCTTCTGTGTGTGTGTGTGTGTGTGTGTGTGTGTGTAAGGTTATTACTCTCAACTTTACAAACATAGCTGAATCACGGAGGGGCAGGGAGTTTTTGGAAAAACACCAATAATTAGCCCTAGGTATCTGGGCAGAATTAAACCAGAAGCTCCAGAGAGTGGGGCCTGACAAGGATTTTTTTTTTTAGCTCTGATGTTGTCGTGAATTATACTATCGGAATGAAGGTCAGATGACCCTCTGGACATACTTGGAGACGCGCAGGGCTCCTTCCTTGCCTAGACAGCCTGCGGCCTCATCTTGCAATACATCTTCCGCCTACAGGGGTCGCTGCGGGACAGCGGGCTCGGTTGGCGGAGTTTCCTCCAGATCCCGCCCCTCAAACCAGGGAAAGCCAGGGAGCCACGGCAGTTATAAATTAGGTTATTTATTTCAAACACCTGATCGAGAGCGCGCGCGCGCTCACACGCCTTTTGTAGAAACATACAAATTCCCTGCTGCACCACACACCATGCTTCAGAGATAAATACAGCCCTACGGGCTCAGGCTCTGGCAAAGCAACTCTTATGTACAGGTATAGATTACAAAAAAAACAAAGTATTACAAAAAAAGTGGTCCTGAACCGCGGGATGGGTCACGCCGGTTACCCTGGGGCCTGGGCCGCACCCCGCAGGCGGTGGGAAACATTGGATGTCCCGGTGGGCACGGAAACAGCAGAGGCCACGCGCCCCGAAAACATCACCCGAGCGGGGCTGGATGTGCGAGGGTCTCACCCCCAGGCGAGAGGCGGCGGGGAACAGGAAGGGTCTCCCCGCCAGGACCCGCTCTGGATCGCCGAGACAGCCCGAGTGGCTCGGCAGGGGGCTCCAGAAGTGCTCCGTGAGGAACCTAGCGGGGATTGCGCCCTGGTTTGGGGTGGGGGAGCGGCGGGGGCCCGGGGGTGAGAACACATCAGGTTCCTCGGAGGCCTCGCTTGTTTTAAAGCGCGGTTGGCTTTTTAAAGCTCCGTCTTCCGGAGGCCGGGGAGCTGGGGCGCACCGTGCCTCGGGCGGGCGGACAGTCCGGCCGCCCGCTCCTCACAGCACCTGGTAGACCGGGTTCGGGTTGGCGCCCGCAGGGCACCGCGGGGTGGCGTCGGGCGAGGCGGGGCCGGCGCCGCCGGGCTCATCCTCGCCGGGGGCGGTCGCCTCTTGCTGGGCCGGAGGCGATTCGTGCGTGGCGGCGTCGGCGGCGGCGGCGGCGGCGGGGGCGAGCGCCGCGGGGCTCTCGGTGGAGATGCGCTCCACAATGCTGGACAGGCAATCCAGGCTCGACACAGCCGCTCTCTTCCCGGGCCTGGGTTCTGCGAGGGGGAGGGCGGATCCATCAGCGGAGGAAGTTGGGGGGTGGCGGGGTGGGGATGGGGGCCAGGGGAAGCCATGGCGGGGCTCTCCACTCTTGGGCTTTGTGCCTTGAGTGGGTGTGTGTGTGGGGGGGATGGTGGTGGTAGAAGACTTTTAACAGAGAGAGTCTGGAACCATCCAACAAAAGTTCGGGCTTCCGGGGTGGGGGCTGCACTGTGGTTTGGGGAGGGCGGTGGGGACTCGACGGCAGAGAGTTTGGGTCGGCTCACGGGCTGGAATACGCACCGCTGGGCTCCTCGCTGTAGTAGGTGCCGTCGTAGCAGTTCCGCCGCCGGGCGCCACTCAGGGGACCGTTGTATTCCACCTGCTAATGGCAGGGAAGGGACAGGCTGAGCTCCGCGGGACCTCGCGGGGGGGCGGGGAGGGGGAAGGGGCCGGGGCACCAGTCCCTCTAGCTAGCCGTCCCCTCCCCGCCTCCCCAAGTTCTTCCTGATGATGTGGTGGATGTCAGGTCAGAAGGAGCGTGACTAGAGCGTGGAAGCATACAGGGGCCAAAATGGGGGCAAACGATCGCCCAGAAAGACCAATGTGCATTTTGGAAGTGAGGGTACACTGGGGAGATGGCTAACTTGCATGTTGTGCAGCACTATGCTAACAGCGCCCCCGCCCCTCCCCGATCGGGCTGAAGCCTCGCTCCCGCGCGCTTCTAAAGCGTTAGGCTACCCAAGCGACCCCTAGGAAAGGCTCCCCCCGCCCCTTCTCCCCTCGGGCCAGTTCCCTAGCTCCGGAACGCCTATCCCGAAAGAAAGCTGCCTTCACCCGCCCGCCTGGGTCCCGGCCTTACCATGCCGTCTGAACAGTTGGAACACGGGCTGGACGCGTCCGAGTCGCCGCTGTAGTGCTCGCCACCTCGGCCTGGGGGCAGCGGGCCGGGCGCGTAAAAAGCGGCGGCGCCCGGCGGCGCGGCGTCCTGGTCTCGCAGCAGAGCCTGCAGGCCCTCGATGTAGCGGATGGCGTTGCGCAGGATCTCCACCTTGGGCAGCCTCTGGTTGGGGTTGCTCGACGTGCAGCGCTTGAGCGTCTCGAAGGCCTCGTTGACTTTGCTCAGGCGGCGCCGCTCTCGCATGGTGGCAGCCTTGCGGCGGTCGGCATTGGTGGTCTTCCGCTTGCACGCCTTGCAGGCCCACAGCAGGCAGCGGCCGGCTTGGTGGTGCCCGCTGGGCGCGCGCACGTGCTCGTCCTCGCGAGCTCCGGGGACTGGGTGCACCACGGCCGGGAAGTGCGAGTGCTCCTCGGGCTTCAGGAGCGCGCCCACATGCACAAGGCGCGGGTCCAGGTCCTCGAAGAAGCGCAGGTCGGGGGAGTCAAAACACGGGTCGTCATAGAAGTCGTCTGCTGCAGCAAAGGAGCAGAGAGAACCGTCGGGGCCCGTCAAGTCTACATCTCTGAGCGGTGGTGACAGTAGCTCCATATCCCAGTGGGTGGCAGCGCGGTCCCGGCTTCGCCCAGCCCAAGCCGAGGAGAGAGAGTTGTAGAAACTTTCCACCACTCCCCGGGAGCACTGGCAGTTGAATGGCAAAATGCCGAGGGTTTGAATGCACACCCGACTGTCCTCCGCACTGCCCTGGCTGGTCGGGCTGGGGAAGGGGAAGGGTCACAGTGTATTGGGGATTCCTCACCCCTAGATTCGCGCCAGGAGCCCTGGGCTATTTATCTGTGGTGGCCTTAACGCCCGGGAGCTGGAGCGGACTGCTGGGGGCGGGGGGAGCCCGAGGCCAATTGGATCAGAGTAGGGCGGAGCCTGGGGTCCCCAGAGGAGTGTCTCTCCGCCCCCCCCCCCCCACCATTAGCGCTTGTGCGCTCTGGCAGCTCCCTAAGCCACGAAAGAAGCAAAGTGGCAGCCCAACGGGACTGCACTGGGCTATCCTTACCCTTTCCAAATCTTTCCAGCATTTGCACCCTACTCCAACGTCTGCAAAGAAAGCTGCACTCTCATCTCCGAGCTGACTTTGGGCCCCAGTCTGTCCCCTAATTGTGGAGAATCCAGGACTAGAGCTCGGGGGTTCGGGGGTGGGGGGGAGGAGGGAAATCACATCTGAGGCAGATTTTTGGACAGAGACTCAAAGCAATAGGGCAGAAGCACCAATAGAGGGGAGATAAAGAGACTGCGAAAGATACACCCGAAGAGACGGAAAGGCAGAGCCAAGGGCAGAGAAGAGCAGGAGAGACAGTTAAACTAAGTGGGTCTGCCTGAGCCAAATGACTACGTGATGACACCCAGCCAATCTTGGTGACACTCAGCCAGTCTTGAGCCTGAATGTTGCTCAGAAGATCATGGATCCAATCCATCTGCTCTGAACGCTGAGAAACTCAGCCAGGTCTTACAGGAATTGGGACTGGCTGCTAAGACTTTATACCACAGCCTCCAAACTCGGACCATCCTCAATTTGCCCAGCATGTTTCCCTTGCCCAGTGTCCAGAGCCATGGCTGGAATGCAGGCTGAGATGCCTCTTCAACTGGGAGATCTATTTCCCCAGGGCTTGTCATATCTTGCACTGTGCTGAGCATGCTAAATCCTTTTGTAAGGACCTGACCCCCCCATCTGGCCTAAAGAGACCCCCCCTCCAACTTAGAGTGGAATCTAGATGAGTTTGTGCAATCATCTTTGCCTGAGCTTCACTTAGCACTTTGTAAATCTGGAATGATAGCTATCTGTCTCTTGGAAGTAACTGTGGTACTGATGAGAATCTAAAGAGAGGGAGGATGCGGAACAAAGCAATGGAGGTACAAGGTTATGCTCACAAGAGGGCTTGCTTCTGTCTCCAGTCCCTGCTGCATGGTATGTCCAGCAGGCTTCCTAGCACTTGTCTGGGGGCACTAAGCCCTGGAAGGAACTGGTGGGATCTTCAGACCCAGCTTCTCTGGGTGCCTCAGCTGCTTCTCTTTCTTGCAGGCTCACTGAAGAAGCTAGGAGCAGCAAAAGAAAGCAACCATCCAATAAAAGCTCTGGCTCCCTACAAGCCCCAATATGTCAGGTACTAGGAATATAGCAACAAACAAAACCAAGGGCCCAGCCAGCTGCCAGTGATTCACATCTGTGATCCCAGCTACTCAGGAGTCTGGGGTTAGATGGTCCTGGTTTGAAACCAACCTGGGAGAAGAAAAGTCAGAAAGACTACAATTTTGAACTAACCAACAAAAAGAAATGTAGGAGGAGTAATTCAAGTGGTAGTATGCTAGCCTAGTAAGCAAGAAACCCTAAGTTCAAAGTAGAGAACTCAATGAACAGAACCCAAAAGCGAGATCAGCAGACATCTGGGACTAGACAGAGGGCACCTGTGCAAAGATCCTGCAGCAGAACAGGACTACGAGGGTGGCATTCCAGAAGGGAAGTTGGACCATGAGGAAGATCTGTCCACTCTGGAAGATATCTCCAATGTCAGTCCATCTGCACTGTCACCATCCTAGAGTAAGTGGTCTCACTGTCCAGATGACTCCACTGACCTCCCTATTCACCTCACTTTCATTCTCACCCCCATATCATACGATCCATTCACTACACAGCAGCCTAGAGAACCTTTTATAAACCTAAGTGAGATCCTACCACTTCTGCTTCCAACTCTTCTTCAGCTTCCCATTGCATTCAGCGGGAAAACAATCTCATCTCTAACCCCTGGCCTATATGACCCTATTGGAGCTGGCTTCATCTCAACTCTCCAACTTTATCTAAAGCCACTATCCCCTTTGATGGTCCCATCTCAGGTAGCCTGGCCTCCTTTTCTTTCTTCTAACATTCTGGACAATCTTATACTTGTAATACTAAGATGATAACACTCTTCCCTGGGATTTTTTTCTGAGATTGCCTGCTTTTCATAGCTCAGGTCTCAGCTCAGATATTGATTGCCTTTTTGGGATATATCTTACTATTCCCTCCCACATAGCTATCTTCTTTACAGTGGACAACATCCCCTGGTTTGTCTCCTTCTTGGTGCTGCTGCTCTGTAATAATTTTCCTTGTTAGTGTGTTCCTCGATTGACATGAATTCAATCATGAAGAAAAGGATATGGTGTTTATGGTGGCTTTTCCAGAAATCATCCCAGTGGTGTCACATCCTTAAAAGATGCCAAACAAGGGAATGAGTGGTCTCATACTCCCTGGAAGTTGGTGATCTGTGTCACTAATGGTCCTTATTTCTTCAAAACTGGATGTCACATCATATATGGTTAGACACATAAGCTCAACACAGGTAAGGCTCAAGCTGGTCTGCCTGGGGCATGCCCTTGTATGCTATGTAATTACACACGACCTGTTGCAATATTTTAAGAGTAGACTACAGAGAGATTTAGTGCTTGATGAAGATATTCAGGCTTAGTACAAGCTTGAGTATAATCATCAAGACTTAAGTCACATCTTCAAGTCACATCTTCATTGTAACTCACAACTAGGAATGTAAATTGTTGCAGTAATGATTTAGATTGAACAACTACTACTTCTTGTTCTACAAGATTTAGGATAATGCATGGCTCAATATAGATACTCCCTAAATATGTTGAGGGAGGAAGTGAATGAATTTAATGGAAGAGTATTCTGGAATCTTCAGGAAGGCTCTTCCAGCCACTTGTTTATGCAAATCTAGATTATCCCTCAAACCTGAACAAGCAAAGAAAATACAGAAATAAAGTCGATGCTGAGACTCAAGTGATTACAGCTTGGCTTTTTGTATGTGTTTTATGTTTATGAAACTTCCTCTGGGCTGTTACCAAGGTGTCGTTATGATAAGTAAATTTTATATGTTTGAACTTTTAATATTTAATATTTTATCTCTGGTGCCTTACTCATCTAAACTGCTTTGACAGTTTTGAACTTGATTTGTACTTCATTAGAGAACACCTTTAAAATGTGCATAGATTGAGTGGGCACAAAATTTACTCTTCTATTGGGATACTATTTTCATTTGCTATGAAGTTTTGCTGCTTGAACCAGGTGACCTTTTCAAGTCAGAGATCCATTCCTGCCTGTTGTGTTAGTCTTAGTGCTGGGGTTGGGGGACAACAAGAGGCAGAAGAAGGAGACATCATTTGGAAACTTCAAGTCTAAATTCATACATGTGGAGTATAGTCAAGATGCCCCTGGGAGAGGCCATTGGCAATGGGCTGAGGCGCTATTGAACAGTTCTGTCTCCAATGCAGGGCAGAGAAGACAGAAATATATGTCTGTGATCTAGAACAAGTATGTACCTCATCCTGCACCTCTGTTCTCTTACATTGAGGGGTCCTATGATGGGAAGTAGAGAGAAGGGTTTCTGGGGCTTCCCCTTCCTTCTCTGCCCTTTCCATCCTCCCAACTCAGCTCCCTGGGCTGGATTGTCCAGCGGCTATAAATGGAGAGCTGGCCTCGGAGCAGGAATGTGGGCCTGGCTGGGCCCCCAGGGTGTTGTGCCCTCAGGGAGTGGCTGCCTGGGTCTCCCAGGAGCCTTTATATATATAGCCTCTGGAAACCAGATCCAGCCTGCACCTGCCCCAGGCTTCAGGCTCCTTTGCCCTGTCTGGGCAGGGCAAAGCTTGTGGCTTTTGCACTTGGGCTAGCCCATGCTTCATAACTGGTTGGCAGGTGGGGGTATAGGAAGGGTCAGAGGGCAAAAATCTAAGTAGCCAAGATGGGATAGGGTCAACTTCAAATCTCTGACCTTGGCCTTTCCATTTCTGGTCCTGGATCCACCCCTACTGACTTATCTGTCCCTTGCCAACTTTGTTCCCTGGAAAAAGTCGGAAACTGCCCACCTCATAGCTGTAGAACCTGCCTTCAGGCCAGTCTAAGTTGGCCAAGAGAGACAGTGATGCTACCCAGATATAGACATGTCCTAGTGAGGCCCAGGGTCTTAGAGTCGCTACACTCTCCTCTCTGGGGGAACTACCCAGCTCCCTGCATCTAAACAGGACATAGGTGTCTGGAAGTTAGATAGGGCACTGAAGAGTAGGGAGAAGGGAGAAAGGGAACGGAAAGGGCTGGGAGAGCAAAAACTCACTGTCCAGTCTATGATCCATTTATTCAACAATTTATTTATATGCTGGAAAGATATAAGAACACAACACGCCATTTCCAGCCCATTTCATTTTGGTTGTTTTTGAGATAAGGTCTCATTTTCTGCCCACACTAGCTTGGACAATGATTCTCGTTCCCACTGTAGCTGGGATCACAGGAATGTATCACCATGATCACCCCTTCCTTTTTTTTTTTCCTGTTGAGATGTGGTCTCTTGAACATTTTTTTTGGTCTGAGCTTACCTGAAACCATGATCCTCCTAATCTTTGTCTCTGTAGTATCTAGGATTACAGACATGAGCACAGGGTTCTTTAAGAATCCAGGTTCTTGGGATCCCAAACACAAACACAATGTCATTTATTAAACTTAATAATAATACTGGCTCAAAGAATGGGACAATAGTTTGGTAATTAGAAATGTTAAAGGA